TAACTTTGAAATTTATTTATTTGAGAAATTAATTTAAGAATAATTCTAAAATTTAATTAAGAATAACTCCAAAATTTACTTATTTGAGAATAACTCTATTATCATCGATAACCTTATTTATTATTCATACTCATCATTCTCCCTTGCCATATTAAATTCTTCAGATCCGAAATAAATCCCCCCAATCCAATCAATTCAATTTTCTCCCCAAACGGACCTAGAAAAATGAAATTGACCCCAATCGATGAACTGTATTTCACAATTAAATATTCCCAACAAAATTACCGCTCTAATTGTAACACTATATAATAACGTATAAATACTTCTATCAAAATTCCCGTTGTACCTTTTAAAAACAGTTCCCGTTTGAATATCTGGGACGAAGGCCTTCTTGCACTAGAAATTACCAGAATCTATCAAACGCACTTATCCAGCCAGTTTCAAAGAGGAAGTGATATATTGGATTACACTTAATATTAATCCGATCTAATTATTCCACCTTTTGATTGGTCGATGTTTTCATAATTATAACGGCGAATCGTTTCACAGCTTGCTAATTAGTTAGTTTTTAATCAAACCTGATCAATAATCCTGACCGAGATGAAAGATCGCCTACTACGGCTAACGAGAAACATCATTCGCGTGTGTGTTAGGTAACTTGAAAATGTTAATTACCCATGACTAAAAACTGACTGTGGAAATCTGTAAAAATGGCCGAAATGTACATGTATATACAGGGAATCCAACAGTTCGGCACTCGATTCAACGAACGTATCATTAAGGACTTTAACGTTCCGTGCAATCACCGTCGGTGAAATTAATTTTAATCATGGCTAAGCGTGACAGGCACGGATCGACGAAAATTATTACTTTGTTGCTGCTCGTTTTACCTCGTTGTAAAAATTCTGATCATTTTGGGGGGGGATAAGAGAGAAAAGTTGGAGAAATTAGATACATAATAACTGATGAACTATAATACATCTTGACTAATTACAGATATTAAAAAGGAACATTTCAAATTTGTTTTCTTTTGTTTCAGTAATTTCAAAAAGTATGTAATTTTCCGCCTGTACTACGTGATCATTAATGACTATTTGCATAATTGTCTCGAGGTAATTAGCTCGATAAAGAGCGCGAATTTTTCATCTGTAAATTTTACATAGGTTTATAAATTTTGAATGAAGTTATTCTCATCTACGATCACGTTTGAAATTTACATGGAAGCGTTAACAGGGTATAAATAATTACGTATACGGTGACACGTGTTGATATATCTTGACAAGGGTCAACGTGATTTTCCATCTTGTCGTCGATGCACTATCGATTAGATCTTTCTCTTCTCATTTTGCTCATATATACACTCGAGATTGTCCACTGGTCAATTAAAGGCTAATTATTATCGTTGACTTTATTCAATTACGTTTTAGAGGCTGAATTGACATTGTTTACCTTGATATTACGTAACTTCTTTTGTTGTGATCTTTAATCAGTAAAATTGTAACAGTATGAAGTGTGCGGTGATTACTTATCAATGAAGTGTACCATAAAATTATTTTCCTATTTTTGAAAAATTCTTCAACTATAAAGTAAACTGTAAATTTATTTAGGAGTGAAATATACCATAAAATTTTCTTCCTATTTTTGCAAAATTATTCAACTATATTTAATCAGTAAAATGGTAACAATCTGAAATGTGTGATTATTTATGACTGGAATGTACCATCAAATTTTCTTCTCATTTTTGCAAAATTCTTCAATTATAAAGTGAACTTATAAATTTAATTAGTAAAACTGTAACAATCTGAACTGTGTGATTATTTATGAGTTAAGTGTACCATAAAATTATCTTCATATTTTTGCAAACTTCTTCAACTATAAAGAGAACTATAAAATTTTAATTGAATACGTTCAAATTTCAAATTGTCTCATTTCTGTTATAGTATTTTATTTCTCACTAACAGGAACATTTATTCAATAAAACCTATACAATTTAGAAATTTTTCCACCGTCTAATGAGGATGAAGCACAGCATTGCATCTAACTACGAACTTTCCTTCATCTAACCGATAGCTTTTCAGCATAATATAAGACTCACGCGAGAAGTAATTATACAGCCGATGTTAGATCGGTTAATAGTACCTCCGATGCACGTTGCACTTTCAGGTTACACACCTTATCTGACATCAGCTGTGCTATCAGTGTTTCTTGACGTTTTTCTCTCTCCCAACATACCCCTTTCTTCGTGATATTTTTTAAAAGTATCACGGTACATCCACTTTACGTGCTTTTCCCTCCAAGCTACCATTCAGGCCAGCTTATACTTAAGGATTTTTTTCAGAGCAACGAAAAGTGGCTGTACGTAAACACAGAGAGAAATTTTCAACGGCGTTGTAAATTTTTGTTTAAACGCCGGATGGCGAGGTAAAACGAAAGTAGTTTTAGACGATTAGACGGTAATCTTCGAATGGTATATATTTTGGTTGAAATGTGAATTTCTCTCAAATGAATATTTAACCTGCCTGTTATTCCGTAGATTGTTTAGAATTATTTTACATCTGTTATTACCATTAATAAGTCAATTTTTTTTAAATAGTATACGATTTTTGAGGTGAAATGTTTAAGTTGAATTAATATTATAGGTGTAATTAAAATTTCTGTAATTTCAGGATTGTGCTAATAGAAGATTTCTAAAATAGACGTGACATACTTTAAAAATACTGTATTTAACAGGTACACTCTTCTTACGTATCTAATTTTACCGAAAATTCCAGTCCTAATTCAGCACCAACTACCCTAAATACTTTATCCAGCACGAATTTCGAGCACTCAGCTTCCCGTTGCATTAACCAACGTCTCCTGAGCACATTATCACTGTTCACTTCCCAAACTCATTCTAATCTCAAAGAAAAACAAAATTCCAAGTACCTTAACCCTTTGCCATGTCGAAATACTGATTACTTGTACAACGCATAATTAGGTCACTACTTCAGTTTCTTTTGTAAAACAGAATCATCTGAAAATTACATTACCCTCAAATAATACGTACGTACATGAGTTCGTATTCTCGCCAACTATCACTTAAAAAATTGCCAGTTCATTGGCTGCGCTCATGTTTCGCGAACGCGTATATGAGTCTATCGTTCTCACAGGGTTGAATTAAAGGGATACTTTGATCGTTATCGGCGAAAATCCAAATTCTACCGAATTAAAGATACAAAGTTCTCCGAACTCAGCGTCGCACGATTATTCCACCGATAATTTCTACCTGCAACCCTTTCGGAAACAGGGTTCCTACGTAAGACCGCGGCGACGTGTCGCGAAAAAACGAAAGTCACGGTGAAGAAATGGTACAGAAAGCTCTGAAATTGCTGGATCTCTGTGGATTCGCGTAGAAGGCAAGTTCGGGGTCGAGCACCTTTTTGTACCGGCAATCTTCCAGGAAAGTGGCGCCTTTCTCGTGTCGAAAGAGGTCGGTGGGGAGGACAGCGGCGCGGCGAATGTGGAGTAGAATCGCATTACGAGCGGGCTGAGTAACGGAGCGGGCGCTGAGCAGAGCGTATCGCGTGTCGTCTCCTCGTTGACGAGCGGTGTTCTCGCGCGGAATATTCCTGGTGCTCGTCAGTCGCGTGCTGACCAGCCAGCCGACTGTGCGTACCGCTTCGAACCTTCTGCTTTTACACGTAACATACTCTCTTTCCCACTCGCCTGCCTCGCGTTTCTCGATCGGAGATTCATAACAGAAAATCATCGTGAAAAATTCTCCAATACCGATCGACATTCTCCACGTGACCGATCCTCAACGATTATCGACGTGAATCTTCTCGCTCCCACTTTTTCGACACCTTTACCAGAGAGAAAGAAATAGAAAAAAAGAAGAAGAAAATTGTGGTCGGTCACGAATTTAACCGAAAGCAGACCAAGTTGATTGAGTATGAACGGTTAATGAGGGTTGTGGAACGTTGCTGCTGTTGGCGAGCAACGCGTGTGCGAGAACGAACGATCGATCGAATCGGCTTGGAGGGTGGCGTTGAAAGTTTCAGTGATCGATTGGAACGATAACACCGAAGTGGATCCGGTTAACCGGTCGAAAGGAAAGGAACGTACATGAGCCCCCGATCGACGCTCGTTCGAGCTTGATGAGTCGCGTTAGAACGTCTCGGATCTGAGGATCCGATCGACGTTGAAAGGGTCGCGCATTGTTCCTCGATTGATCTCCGCCAGGAGAAAACGGCGCGCACCACGATGCTGAACGACAACGCGTGGAAGCACAGGCGGGTGCCTGTACCGAAGAGGTGAGTTTCACCGGTTTTAATCGACACCTACCAACTCTCATTTCTCTTACTGATTGCATGTTGCCGTTGGTAAATTCTTGCGACTGTCTCACGAGACGAACTGAATCTGCTTCTATTTTTTTTTTTTTTTTTGAAATTATACGGTGAATGGGCAATTTTGTTTGGTAACGAGCGTTTCTGATCTATGATTAAGGGAGGATTTCCGTTTGGAGAGGTCAACGATCGATTTCTTTTATTGTATTTTTTCCAAGTAGATTTTGAAAGTGTTGGTAACGTTGTACGCTTGAAATCGAGGAAATGACAGAGTTGTAATGATTTCAAGAAAGTGATGCACCGAATGGGAATGTTAAACGTAGCAAAATCTTTCACAACTTGCACACTGCGGGAAATATTTAATAATTTAAGGAATATTTGAGACAATTGCATGAAAATTAGACTGCGTGTTTCTGAAATATGGCTAAGCGTGTGTGCAAAATTTCAAGTCCCCTGGTTTACAATTTTTTTATCCTAAAAATAACGTCTTCAAAGGGGAATCCCTCTTAAACGAAAAATTCAATTCTATCTTTTATCTGTAATTTCTGTATAATTGTTCCCATTTATTTTGTCGTTAATTTATTTCTGTTCATGGGAAGTGTAATCTAAAGTGAAAACGTTAATGTTTAAGCGTGCTTCTGTTACTCGTGTGAGTATGTAACGTGGAAAACGGCACGACGAGGTATTACGGAGAAAACAGTGGAGCTTTCTTAAACGAAAAATTGAAAAATTCCATTCTCTCTTTTGTACGAAATTTTGTTGGAAATTTTCTAGAAAAACAGTTAAACCAACCTGTTTTCAATCTACCAACATGTGGGCGCAATCTTGTGACCTTCCGTGTTTTATTGCTAAAACGGTAACTCTGATTGCTCTAAAGTGGTTCTGTACAACTGTGTCATTGCTGTAGGGGGCTAGCATGTTATTGCTCGTCCACTGCTAAATCAATAATAATATTTTATGCTATGATAAATTCATCCAACGAAACCTATCATTTCCCGTTATTTATTGTCTAAGTAATAAGCTTGATTGTGCAAATTGGAAAAGATTATACGCGTCCATTGAAACGCTATAATTTTCGATTCGATCCAGAGATCCAACTGACTTGTCATAACAGCAGATGTATCCACTTTATTAGACATAAATCTACACTCTTACACCTTGTCACACTTCTTCCTGTTTCGTTGAATTCGTTTATTCTCGTGTTCAACGTGTGCAATTAGAAATCACTTATCCTCGGTTACGAAAATGAGAGAATTTTGATAATTACGACTAGTGAAGAATGAACTAATTGTTACTAGGTAATGCAGTAACTTTTCTTCTTCGAAATAAATTCGTTTCTTTTGACCAATATTTCTTCTCTCTTCGTTTACCAAAACTGATAAAATTTTAATAATTGTAACAAATTGGAAATTGTGACAAACTTAATGCGATATGATTTTCACTCTCTAACAGATTTGTATATTTTTCACATCCAACAGACACCTTACACCGTTTAAAAATTTCCAATAAATTCGCGCCGTTTAGATCAATATTTCAAACGTACCTTTAAATGCTACGAGAAAATGTAGTCACCACCTCGTTCCACAACTTCTTCTCATCTTTTCGCTAAATTCGACGTAAAATTCCTTCAATTTTTCATTAAAAAATTTTTCCACCGTCACCTCTCGTAAAATCAATATTGTCAAATTTTGTTGCTCGCTAAAAAGTGTAACGCACGAGACGGATGATAGTCTAACGGGGCAATGTCCGGAGAATACGGTGGGTGTGATAAAACTTCTCAACCGGATTCGCGTAATTTCTTTTTACGCGTTTTCTGCCGCACGCGATCTGGTATTATCGCGGTGAAAAATGATTTTCTTCCGATTTTAGTGTCCCGGACGTTTCACCGCTGTTGCTTCTTTTAACTTTTCCGAGCACAGTGGCGCACGTCTGAACGAATGCTTTCACTTCTCGGAAGCAACTCGAAATGCAAAACAGCAGGTCGTCAATTTGTATTTATTTATTGGACGACCGTTTGAATGGACAATTAGGGCAAACCGGGCAGCGATGGACCACTTACATACATGAATTTTGAAATACCCGTTAGATTTCACGAACATTATCATACTTAAATACGTGTTGTATTTCCCGCCAAAAGTTTGTCTAATTGCGAGTTTTTCAGCCTCTTAATTTAACTTCGATGTCAGAATTTATTAAGTTTTGCTGCGTAATATTGAATTTGAAGCGTTTCTTTTTTTATTTTCATCCGTTTTGGTGCGTTTCGGTTTAACTAACGCACAGTGTATGGGACAGTTGTTACCATTTTTACATGCCTATTTTTGAAAAGAGTGTTGTAATTTCTGTAGCATCGAATATTATCACCGTAAGTTCATTTAATATACCAGATAACAAGCAGATCTCTCCGCTTTCTGTTCAAAGGCGAAATTCTACCTTTAAAAGAAGTGGTCCATCACTCTACGATGAATCGTTAATCGACGCGAGTAATTTCTTGACGGTACAACGAATTCGTTCATTCTCAGTTCTATATTTACCCGAGCAAGAAAATTTTCGTAACGATAATACGCCAAAAGCAAGGATGACAAGTGGTTGTCGGACGGAATAATTTCCCAATCCTCGGTATTTATATAAATACACTCGATGCTCGGCTGTCGATACAGCAAAATTTCATCGATTCTAACAGTCCTGTTATTAAGTGTTATTAGGTGTTGTAATCATGCGGTAACGCATCGAATATCCGTCTTACCGGTGTCCCGGTGCGTTTGCACGCTTTTCAATTGAACTCTATCAGAAGTGAAGTGAGAAAACGGTTGATGAATCGTTAGTTGGTCCAAGCACAAAGCGTGAGAGCGTAGGTCTCGTGTCTCAAATCGATTTATCAGCAGGTACACTATACATACACGTGTATGTATACGTATATACACACATTCGACGCGTTAAAATGCTTAACCCCGGAATACCGGCGGGTTCAGCAAACGAATACGAACTCCTGCTAATAGATAAGTGTCTCTTCTGCTATTACTTCAACCGGACGCGTTAGATTTATAGCCGAAGAACCAGTCTTTTTTCCACGGTAGCTTGGTGAATTATTAACAACTCGAATAAGCTTCTTCTATTCGTGAACGGTGTTTCCGAAGGAGGGACACGTTGGGTATATTATAACGGGCGAGGTCGAGTTTAATAAGGGGGGAAAAGAAAAAGACGGCGGTGTTGGTATTGGTTTTGTTATCGAGAGGTTGATTGAGGTTCATTCGATTTCATGATATTTGTGATTCAGCGTGCTAAAGTTCGTGCGAGAGTGTCGGTTTTCTGGTTGTTCTTGCGGACGTGTGTGCAGAGGTGTAGTATAGAGCTGTGGTCGATTATTACGAGAGGAGTGGATCGATATCCGTTAGATTTGAATCTTTTAACGGAGTGTTCGATTTCTGGACGATGGAAGAGTTGGCTATTCGATGCTTGGTATTGGAAGGGATTGTCGGAGTAAAAAATTGTTGCGATTGGAAGAAATTGTTGGAATTGAAAGAATTGTTGGAATTGGAAGAAACTGTTGGAATTGGAAGAAACTGTTGGAATTGGAAGAAACTGTTGGAATTGGAAGAAATTGTTGGAATTGAACGAATTTTTTGGAATAACAAATCGTTGGAATTGGAAGAAATTGTTGGAATTGGAAGAATTGTTGGAATTGGAAGAAACTGTTGGAATTGGAAGAAACTGTTGAAATTGAAAGAATTGTTGGAATTGTTGGAATTGGAAAAATTGTTGGAATTGGATGAAATTGTTGGAATTGGAAGAAATTGTTGGAATTGAAAGAATTTTTTGAAATAACAAATCGTTGGAATTGGAAGAAATTGTCGGAATAAAAATTTGGTGGAATTGGAAGTTGTCAAAATAAAGAATTGTTGGAATTGGAAGAATTTTTTGGTATGAAAAGTTGTTGGAATTGGAAGAAATTGTTGAAATAAAAATTTGTTCAAATTGGAAGAAATTGTTGGAATTGGAAGAAGTTGTCGGAATAAAGAATTGTTGGACTTGGAAGAAATTGTCGGAATAGAGAATTGTTGGGATTGGAAGAATTTTTTGGAATAAAAAACTGTTGGAATTGGAAGAAATTGTTGGAATTGGAAGAAATTGTTGGAATTGGAAGAAATTGTTGGAATTGGAAGAAATTGTTGGAATTGGAAGAAATTGTTGGAATTGGAAGAAATTGTTGGAATTGGAAGAAATTGTTGGAATTGGAAGAAATTGTTGGAATTGGAAGAAATTGTTGGAATTGGAAGAAATTCATCAGAATAAGAAATTGCCAGAATTTATCACTAATAACTTGTTGTTTGTTTAAAAAGTAGACGTGAATTTGATATCTTCTAGTGTTAATTACAGTGGGACACTAACAATTCGCGTTGTAAAATTGTGAGAGTATATTATCATATACTACAATACAATTAAATAAATGAATAAACAATGGATCGTGAAGTAATAATCGCTCTCTAACATTTAATACAAATATCTCCAGCGTAGAGAAATTTCATTTTAATTACTAGAAAATTCATCTGAACTTTCATGTTTATTTACTTTGATCGAAAGTGATAAGTCCTATGTAAGTACGTCAGCTAAGATTCATTTCTTAACGAACAATGTTAAGAAATTAACAGTTGTGCATTAGAGAATGATGATGAGAAGGAATAAGAATTTTCTTATCTCTCGTATCAACCACTTGAAATCCTGAATTTCATTCAATTCTAATCCTATTTGAAATTGCACATTTTCACGTAGTTTGCGAAGTAAAACTTTCATTCTGCGAATAATCATATTCTTTTACGTACCATTCAGCCAGAATGAATAAAAGACTGAGATAAATCTTTCCAAGGTATAAGAGTTTTCTTATCTTTCATGTCAGACACTTCAAATCCTGAATTTCCTTCAATTTCAATCCAATCTTCCAAACAATGCTGCAATCTGTTTAAAATTGCATA